GGACCGATAACTCGGAAGGGCGATGAGTACATTAAGGAGCTTTTAAAATAAGAAATGGTCTAGGTGTACTTTAGAAACCCAAAACTCTGACAACACCGAGAAAGAGATTCGATTTCATGATAACATCTCTTGCCCTTATCCCGAAAACTAATTTCATTAACCCTCTGCCTGAAACAATCTTCGTTCCCGGGATAATTGCTTAACCTCCTCGATCATTTCCTCGGTTTCCAATTTTCTACCGGAGGATCGAATTTTCTTCACCTTTGGGCGTCACTTTTTCCCTACTGCCTCTTCTTTTTTACTTCTTCTTTACAATGTGATATCAAGTTTTTACGGATATACGAGGCCGACCGGCGTGACGAGATGGGAGGAAAGAGTTGGGAGAAATGCCAGAAGATGAGGAATCGGGGAAACAATGAAAATTCTAAAACCAGGGATGAATCGTCTAAGGACGGCAGAGACGTGCGAGGACACCTCTTGCTCGAACGACGCGCGGGACGCCACTGAAGAGCGCCGCATGCGAGCCGCCGCTACTCGCGCTTTTGTGGACGCGGTGGTTGCCCGCCACCCACGACCCACCCGCCGCCCGTTGCCACCCACAGCCGCCCACCGCCACCCAACGCCGCCCACAGGTGGATCGCCGCGGATCTCGTGCGCCTATACCCTCGCATGTCGCGAAATCCTGACGATATCTTGGATACATCATGGCGCTAACGCCATTGACATTTGCTCACTTCGTGTTTGCGATTTCGAACGTGTCTTGCATGAACGATAATACACGTAGAAAAATATTTCGTCAGGGACTATTCATTAGGGAATCAGTAAAAACAATTTCCTTCTTTGAGAACCGATTCCCTTTCATTTCATGCGATAAACAACAATGAGTGCATTCAGAGGAGAAAAGCGGTTACCGATGAGTTGGGAACATGTTGCGATTTTCTGCTGAAAATGGCGATCAGAATGGCCTGATCAGTAAACATGTTGAGTAAACGTACCCGTTCAGCAGATGAGACTCCTGAAGTTCAGTTTTTACAAAGACATCCATGTAGTCACATAATCAAACTATTACAGTGAATTGAAAAAGTAAAACTCGATCTTAAATTAGGTCGATATCCGAATTTCGAAGAGGACCGAATGATGCGGCTACCGAAGTCGCAATGAATCTAATAGTTCGCAGGACTGCGCAACTAATGCATGTCACGCTTGTAACAAATTCTAGTACTACGGTATATTATACGGTTTTCAATAGAGTTCTTGTTTTTAAATTTTACACGTGCCATTATACGTGTAATTTTTACTTTCCAATGTTATACATGTAACGCTGTCAGGTGCAAATATAACAACAATTTATTTTCAAGAATTCTGCAGTTGGTCCTACAGCCACAATGGTTAAAAGGGCAAAAAATTGTAATTACATCTACAATAATTGTTGTTAAGGTTACAACGATACTTTTACCCGCGAGCATATGTAATGATTACAATATTATTCTTCTATCTTCAATGAATTGAAAAACTAAAATTCGATCTTAAATTAGATTGAAAACCGAATTTCTAAGAGGACCGAATGATGCGGCTACCGAAATCAAAATGAGACTAACAGGTCGCAGGACTGTGCAACTAATGCATGTCACGACCCGAATGCTTCTCGCGCTGTCTTAAACGCACAATAGGAACAATAACAGTTCACGCTTGTAAAAATTACTAGTGCTACGGTATATTATACGGTTTTCAATAGAGTTCTTGCTTTTCAATTTTACAACTGTGATGGTCACTTTTACCCGTGCCTTCATACGTGTAATTTTTACTTTCCAATGTTATGCATGTAACCCTGTCAGATGCAAATATAACTACAATTTATTTGCAAGAATTCTTGAGTTGGTGGTACAGCAGCAATGGTTAAAAGGAAAAAAAATTGTAATTATATCTACAATAATTGTTGTTAAGGTTACAACAGTACTTTTACTCGCGAGCATATGTAATGATTACAATATTATTTTTCTGCGTGTAAATAAAAAGGCAGCGATGCAGGAAGGGATATATGAAATGTAAAATTTTCTTTTCGTCAAATGCATCGGAAGAACCCGCAGGTCTATCCCTACTTCGATAGGAGCGTGCAATCGGAAAGACGAAATTAAGGTAATTCATACGAGCGTATCCTCTGATGCGGGCAGTCCTCCCTGTATGTACCCCGACTGAATACGAAATCATGCCTGCTGGACATGTCCGTAAGATAGCCGGACTAGTTTCCATACGCGTCATGTTATTTACAGGTTTCTGGCCGATAGTGCCAGGCGCGATATCCTCGTTCTCGGCTGCCAAAATTCATAAGGATCTCGATAACGGAAGAGGTATTACGTGCTTCCTCGTCGTCATCGCACTCGTCTGACTGGAGCCACCGAATGGCATAAATTCGGACTTTCGTGCGTACTCGTTGAAACGTATGCTCGCACATACGGCAGTAGCTATGTACACGTACCGAGCGCCGAAACGAGGAGCTCGGAAGACCAATGGACATTCGTGAGAAGGCATTTTATTACGTGTTAAGGCGGCGTGAAAGTGGCATCGATGAGGTTTTGTTTATAAAACATTTCTCCCAACTCGATTTACCGAATAGTTTGAGACTTTACAACGTGAATAGGAAGATTATAAGGAAGGTCCTGAAGCTCATGAAATTTCAATTCTTTTCACATTTGTTTACAGGTATTTTAAAAATAATTTATAAGAAATGAAATTTTGCGAGTTTCAGGACCTACCTTAGGATCTCCATATTCACGATTTAAAGTATGAAACAATTTGAGACACCCAGTTCGTTGAAAACTTTTATGAACGATTGAGCTTTCGGATGCCACTTTCACATCCCCTTAAGGTGAAGTGAAACTCCCTTCAAATCAGCCGATTCGAATAGAACACTTTTTTTAAGGGTATTAGATCAAACTGTCCGGAACTTTGACACGTCACTCCTGATCATCTAAGAATTGTCCTGACACATTCAAAATTTGGATTTTTGAAAAAATTGTTTAACTTAGCCCACATCGGGTCCAGAATGGCGTTGAGCTCTTATATTGCGATCAATATAAAATAATAGAAGGCTCTGATATGAAAAACGAAAGGGTCAGGACAATTTTACGACAATTTAGAACACTCTGGTAATCGATAAACTCGCATTTGTACGAGATAAAGCCAAAAAAAAGTGTTGTATGCGCTTCTATGCCAAAACGATGGGAATACGAGGTCTCGGAGTGAAAATTTAATTGACCTGGAAATCACAGATGGCGCAGGGGGTCCCTCTGCAGTCAATTAGGACCCCAGAAAGCATGAATTCAGAGGATTTCTGGAGTTTTACTTCGATTTCTTGATATTTATTGTACGAAAACGACAGGTGGAGTATGCCATTCGGTACAATATCCGATATAATTCGATACAGCTGTCAATTTAAAAACAAACGTCGACAACGTAGGCATGTAGAAAAATCTTCTTTACCGACGTCGATCAAGTTCCTCGACGTGTTTCACCTCACCTTAAATATGCAAGCTTCGATCGTCGTTTATGTCCCCGCGTTTAGCGGATATTGCCGGTCTCGTGTAGGTGCTGATTTTATGTGCGTACGTGGAAGTATCCGACTCCCGGTAGGGTACATGTATGTACACGCAGGTACATATTGCTCTTACAACGCTACACTTGTAAAGGGGTCGAAGAGATATGTGTCGCGTCTCACAAGTGCGAAAGAGATATGTCGGTGCGAGATTCGGTCCCATCGCTTTCAGGGTTCGAAAGGATATTCTTCGAAATTCATTGAATCGCTGCTTTCAAACATCCTCGAAAGGATTTCTGGCGCGATCTCAATATATTCATACCGAATCGGAGCATAGATCTAGATGCTTGATCTTGCGCGAACGCGAATATAGTAGAATAATTGAAAATAATTGGTCGTAAAGACGGCAGTTAAGCATTCTACCGAATGGCTGGTCCCGTTCCTCCAGGTCTCGATGCTCCTATGATCCATTTCGAGAGGAGGTAACGAGGTTTAATAAAAAGAGGAAAAATTGAGAAATCGATACTTTAAGACCTTCCGTTTCATTTTCGCCTTGCTGGAACTTTCGTTCATTTTCCGGGGTAATCAATAGTTGCTCGAATAACCTGCATGCCATCATTCATATTTTTTTCAAGGAAATAGCTTGGTCTTTTTTATGAAGCTGTGTTCGTAAAAAAAAAAAAAGCTTTCATGTTATTATACCAATTAGTGCTGCGGTAATTTTCTACCGCTAATCATATGTTTGTGACCACTAGCTTTCGAAATTATTTGAAAGTAATGAGTCGTTGTTGGATATGTTGTGAAGTTATTACTTGTAAGTCCTTTTTAGTTAACAATTACTGAGTCCTTTCTCCCGGATAATTTTTCAACCGAGAAAAGAAATTCTAATCATCGATCTTTTATGGTTCCAAAGGCTTTTTCAACGTCATTTTTCATTAATTTATCGTACTCCGTAAATTTCAAAATATAATCACGACATTGAGTATGAAACTTTGTGTACCAATAAAGAGCATGTGTAATTATAGGTAATTACACGGATACATAATTACAGGACAGGACATGAAACTCTATAGACCAATAATGAGTATGTGTAATTATAGGTAATTATACGATATATAATTACAGGAGAGGTAATATTTGAAGCGTGGCGTACATGTTTCGAATTTGTATATCTCTGTGAATTTTAATACTTTCTCCGAGTTACCGCTAACATTTTAGCGTTCATTGCGTAAAATAGTTTTGAAACAATTATTATACGAATGTTGATGAAAGAATATACCCGGATAAGCTTGTGCAGACAAGTGCTCCTACACCGAATTAAACATTGCATAAATTAATTATTACCTTGCTACCAATAAACAAAATTTGCCAAGTTCCAACCCTGAAGTTTTTTGAGACGCTCGTTCCAGATGAAAACGCGAATTTAAGTTTTTATTTAATAACGTTCTTTTTTCTGTTCCGTTAGAAATTACGAGAAACTAAACGTACTTATTCTTAATATACCTCCAATCATAATACCTATATGAACTACAGAAGAATAAGCTACTAATACCTTCAAATCTACCTGACGAAGACATATTAATCTAATAAACAACGAACCCATCAAAGAAAATAAAGAAAGAAATCAATTATATTCAATTATAAGTGATGGCATTCTATTAACAATACGAAATATACCATATCCCCCTAACTTTAATATAACCCCTGCCAAAATCATTGATCCTGAAATAGGTGCTTCTACATGAGCCTTAGGTAATCATAAATGAACAACATATAAAGGTAATTTTACAAAAAAAAGCCATTATATAAATTATATAATAAAAAAAGCCTCTAATCTCAGTTCTAATTAAGTGTATCATATCTATTATAATACATCCATATAATCTATTATAGTACAATAAACCAAACAATAAAGGTAATGAAGAAAATAAAGTGTATATAATTATATAGTAACCTGCTTGAGTTCGTTCTATCTGTCTACCTCACCCTAAAATTAAAATTAAAGTAGGGACCAATTTACACTAAAAAAAAAAAAAAAATATAAAAAAAAAAGTTATCGTTAAAAACACCATTAATACAATTAACATAAATAAAAAAAATTAGAATAATAATCAATTAAAAACAATATTGATCTAGCTAAAATCATTAATGCCACAACTTACACACGTAAAAGTGCATGCTAAGAATTTGTTAAAATTTTTGATTGCACATTTGACTTGAAAAAAACTGTTTAACAGCGTTCACCACCAAGTGGGGACGATGACTTCCACCGCTAGATGGCATTAGCATCGAATTCGGTGGGAGGTAACCAAAACGTACTTTCTCGCTCGGATGAGGGAGACGCGACGCGTAATGGGCAGTGTTTAGCAACGGGCGAAAAATGTGTGCGTATTTTGCACGTATACAACTCACACAACGGCTAGACGCCTCTGGACTAGGCGCCGAAACGTGTGTGACACTCGGCCGCACGCACACGCCAGTTGGACGCTCCGCCTAGAGTCGGCAACGGTTGCTAAGGAATGCCCAAATTCCTCGCGAGAAACTTGAAAATCCTGAAAAAGGTGTTCCACGGGGACAACGATTTTAAGCGTATTTCTCAACCGATTGAGCTCAACGAGTGCTCGTTTTAAAGATAAAATGTTGACGTGTGTTTATATGGAAGCGATTTTCGATCAAGCACCTCCTTCCTAGTTAAAAGGGCATTGAAATTATGTCGTTGCACTTTTTTTATATGATAATGACCACTTATCGAAAATCGCTCCCATATAAACACAGGTCAACATTTCATCTTCGATATGAGCACTCGTTAAGCTCGATCGGTTTAGAAATACGTTCGGAATCGTTGTCCCCGTGAGGCCCTGCAAAATCGCTGAAGTGGTGAGCGCCCTTAACAGGGTCCGTTTTTTTTAAGTCATCATGGATAGTTCATCGCTGCAGAGCTTGCTGACCTTGTTGGTAAGAGATATTAAAAAACGTTAAAGGATGTTTGATATCAGTGATGAGTTGGGAGATTGCTCACGGGTACGGTTGCGCGATCACGCAATTGCCACCTGATACCCTCCAGTGGGCGGCTCAACTCAGAGATGGGTTGGATCCCTGAGTTAGGCTGCCTTTGAGGGCAAGTGCATGAGCTACTTGCATTCTCCACCGAGGGCAGCATAGAACACGATACCGCGACTCAGCCTGTGAACAATCTCTCAACTCGTCTCTGCAGAGATGAGTTGGGAGATTGCTCACGTGCAGGGTCGCGCGATCGCACCGTGTGCTGCCCTTATAATCTAATTTTTTTTACCAAAACTACTTTTGATTTACTAAATCAATATCATATATATATATTTAAATCACTTTATTATTTTACATTTAACAAAAATAACTTGTTCCTTTAGATACCAAAATTCTATGTGCATGTTTACACTTAAATATATTAATCACTTATTTATAAAGTGCCTGACAAAAGGATTATTTCGATAAAATAAATCATATATATTAATTATATCTTTATTAATTATAAAATTTACCCCTAAACCCACTCTAATTTGATTTAACTCAACAGTAATCTTCCCTATTTTAATCTTTAGCTCATTAATATCTATCTCTGTTCAATCATGATTCCTTGCATGAATAGGTCTAGAAATTAACCTAATTTGTTTTATTAGATTAATCTCTGACTTTTCAACTAATGCAGAAACTAATATTAAATATTTTATTATTCAATCATTTAGATCTGCTCTATTTCTTTTTTCTTCATCAATTCTTATTATTAATCATTCAATTTTATTTGTTATATTATTAAATATTTCTCTATTAATTAAACTAGGAATAGTTCCTTTCCACTTTTGATACCCCTTAGTTATAATTAAATTAAGTTGATCTAACTGTATAATTCTATCAACATGACAAAAAATTTCTCCCCTTCTTCTTATATCTTATTTTACTATATTTGAACTTATTATTTTTGTTATTGTAATTTCATCTTTAGTTAGAAGAATCTTAGGTTTAAATCAAATCTCCTTAAAAAAAATTATAGCCTTCTCATCAATTAGTCACTTTAGATGAATTCTAATAAATATATTAATTAATGAAAACAACATATACTTTTATACTATTATTTATTTTTTACTAACAATCAGAGTAATAAACGTATTCTTAAATATAAATACATCCTTCATTTATCAAACTAACTCATTTTTAAGTAATAAAAATTATATATTTAATTTATCATTCTCTATAATAATTCTTTCATTAAGAGGAATGCCTCCCCTATTAGGATTTATCCCTAAACTCTCTACAATTTTAATTTTAACCAATCATAGTTACATATTCATATCCCTAATTTTATGTTTATCATCATTATTAAATCTATTTTTTTATATACGAGTTATTTATTCAATCATTATTATATATTCATGTAACTCCAAAATATTTCCATATATATATAATTTTTCATCCCCCCCTAATATAACTTTAACCATATTTACAATATTAACATTAAATTTTATTCTTATCCCAATNCAATTGTTCCATCACTTAATTTATCAAATCCCTCTTTACCTATAATCAACACCATTATTATTATCTTAACAATTCTTATATGAGGACTTTTAGCTGAATGAAAAGAAGGAACTTTAGGATGAGTAAAATAAATTAAGGATAGTAGTTAAAAAAAAATAACATTTAATTTGCATTTAAAAATTATTGAAAACAATTTATCTTAAATTAAAATTATATGTAACATATCTAATGTATTTAGTTTCGACCTAAATTAAGTAATTCATATTTACCTTATTTAATTGAAACCAAAATTAGAGGTAAGTTATTGTTAATAACTTAATTGATTATAAAATCCAATTAAAGAAATAATAATAATTAAAGCCGCTAACTTTATAATAAATGATTAAACCCATTTTTATTTCTATTTATGTAGTTTATTCAAAACTTTTTATTTTCAATGAAAAAATAATTATTACATATAATTCATAAATATTTAAAGATTTTATAATCACCGTAATATCTTCAATATTATACTCTTAAAATTTAAGCTATTTAAATTTAAACTATTCTAAATAAAATTGTAACATATACAAAATAATAAAAATAAGATATAACTGTATTAATTATATAAAAATCATATTTATTTAATATTAACATTTGAACCATATATTTCTATATAACCTTTATCCATCTTAAGTCTTATTAATCCCCCCAAATAATAAATAATTTTATTGAAAAAAATAGCTATATTTAACATATAAGATATAGAACCCAAATAACTAGAAAAATAATATATTACCCCAAAATAAGAAAAATTATAATTAAATACATAATAACCCATTAAACCACCAATAAACATTATAGGATAAATAATAATTATTATCATAGATCTAATATAAATATATACCCCAAATATTATTATTATATAATAATATTTACCCATTATAACTCTACACAAAGTTAATATTAATATTGAATAAGACATTAATCCTAATGTATCCTTTGATAAAGGTAATAAATCTCTCTTAGTTTCATCATTTACACAATAATATAATATTCGTATTGTATAAGACACAGTTAAACCTCTTGAAATAAAAAAAATCAAAATAACAGTTATATTCAAATTTTCCATTAATAAATACTGTAAAATTATATCCTTAGAAAAAAATCCTGACAAAAAAGTTAATCCACATAAAGAAAAATTAGAAATTATATAACATCTCATTACATATGGAGAAATCCTTCCAAGACATCCCATTATTCGAATATCTTGATATTTTAATTTATGAATAATATAACCAGCACACATAAATAATAAAGCTTTAAATATAGCATGTATAACTAAATGAAAAAAAGTAAGAACTCTATTTCCAATAAATAAAAATCTTATTATTAATCCTAATTGTCTTAAAGTTGATAAAGCAATAATCCTTTTTAAATCATATTCATAATTACAAAATAATCTTGCAAATATTATAGTTAACATACATATATAAAGATATAAACTCCTAAAATCTCTTATATAAATTAAATTATAACGAATTAATAAATAAATTCNAAGTCTTCTCATTCAACGGCCAGGATTATATTTTGGTCAATGCTCAGAAATTTGCGGAGCTAATCATAGATTTATACCTATTGTAGTAGAATCAGTAAAATACTGTAAATTCATCAAATGAATCAACTTCATACTTAAAATTTAAATAAACATTAGATGACTGAAATTTAAGTATTGATCTCTTAAATCAACCATAGTATAAATATACTTCTAATGAAAAAGAATTAGTTAAATATAACATAAAATTGTCAATTTTAAATTATTACTAAATCTAATATTCTTTTATTCCACAAATATCTCCTATTATCTGATCAATAAATTATATTTATTTTCTATTAATCTTCTACCTAATTATTTTATATACATATTTCAATATAAATAAAACTAAAATAAATCACTCAATTAAGAATATAAAGATATTTAATTTTAAATGAACTTGATAACTAATCTATTCTCAATTTTTGATCCAGCTTCATCTAATAGTTTATCCTTAAACTGATCAAGATCTCTATTGACATTAATATTACTGCCTATACCCTTTTGATTTATTCCATCTCGTTACTCTAAATCATTAAATATTATTCTTCTATTTTTAATTAAAGAACTCAAGACAATTAAATTTATTAAATCTAGATCTCTAATTTTTATTTCTCTATTCCTATTAATTATAATTAATAACTTTATAGGATTATTTCCTTATATCTTTACTAGATCTAGTCATCTTACAATATCATTATCTTTAGCTTTACCTCTATGAATTTCATTCATATTATTTGGATGAATTAATAATTATTGACATATGTTAATTCATCTGGTTCCTATAGGAACCCCTACATTACTTATACCATTTATAGTTATCATTGAAACAATTAGTAATATTATTCGACCTATCACTCTCTCTGTTCGACTAAGAGCAAATATAATTGCTGGTCATTTACTAATTAGATTAATTAGATCTACCATAAGATCAAGAATTACTTTAATTCCTATCATTTTAATTATACAAAATTTAATATTCATTCTTGAAATTAGTGTAGCTATTATTCAATCATATGTATTCTCTATTCTATCATCATTATATTGTAAAGAATCTATAAATTAATGAATAACTTTTTTAAATCAAATTGTATAATACATCCATTCCACCTAGTTTCAGTAAGTCCATGACCTATTATAGCCTCAGTAAATATAATAAATCTAGCCATTAGAGCCTCATGAATATTTTTATCAAGAGATTGACTACCCTTAATATTAAGATCAACATCTCTTATTATTTCAGCCATTCAATGATGACGAGATATTATCCGTGAAAGATCATTTCAAGGATTTCATTCAATTAAAGTTCATAGAGGATTAAAAATAGGTATAATCCTATTTATTATTTCCGAAATTATATTTTTTATTTCTTTCTTCTGAATATTACTTCATATAGCTCTAGCTCCAAGTATAGAAATTGGATTATTTTGACCACCAAATAATATCTTAATTTTTAATCCATATTCTATTCCTATACTTAATACCTCAATTCTTATTAGTTCAGGAATTTCTGTAACATGATGCCATCATAGAATCCTTAATAGAGCAAAAAACGAATCAATTATTAGACTTTTAATTACATTAATACTTGGAATTTACTTTTCCTATGTACAATATATAGAATATTGATCTTCATCATTTACAATCGCTGACTCTGTATTCGGGTCATCATTTTTTGTAATAACCGGATTTCA